TGTGGCCAAATGTTTTACCCAAATAATAGCGTCCGAGTCCTTTGTGCCAATGCAAATGTGCATTGCTTCCTTTTTTCCTGTTAAAGTTGGCTCGCAGACTTGAGATTCAACCTGTGACTTGAAAGTACAGCTGGCCTTCCATTTTTGTGGGCGATTTGTTCTGGACACACATACACATACACACACACCTGTGAAAACTGAGATTTGCCAATATTCAAACCGCATAGGCTTGAATGGGGTCGCCTCATTGATTTTAATGGAGGTCACCCCTCCATGAATATGCAAAGCCGCGGACTTCAAGTCTCCGAGAACGCAGGAGCGACTCTTTCAAGGACTTGAGACTTGGCATAAAAGACTACTCACTGTAAGTATCCCTTGGGTTATTTAGAGATGGTTACTTTGTTGGAGCAAACATCATGTTGTAAGGTAGTAAGAAAGGTGAAATATTTGGGAATTTATATATCCAATAGAAATACTGAATTATTTGATATCAACTATGGTAAAACTTGGAATGACATCAAAAGAGATTTAATAAAATGGTCCAGGATGAGATTGTCGCTATATGGTAAAATCGCACTAATCCAACAAAAGATGGTTACCATTCCACCTCTCAGTTGTCTCTTCTCCAGGCTAAACATAATACTTTCAGTATGTAGAGAGATCTTGTAGCACCTTTGAGACTAACTGGAAATAAATAAGAAGTTGGCAGCATGAGCTTTGGTAGACCTCGGTCTACTTCCTCAGATGCATTTGGTGGAGTGAAAAACTAGGGACATACCCTTGGTATATAGCTCTGACACTGGCTTTCCACTCCACCAAATGCATCTGAGGAAGTAGACTTTTAGTCTATGAAACCTAATGTGGCCAATTTCTTACAGTTAAGTCTCAAAGGTGCTACAGGATCTCTCTACATACTGATTCTACAGACTAACATGGCTATACCTTTGAATAATACTTTAAAGATAAGAGACTCAGATGTAAACTTCTCTCCCAACTAGTTTAATTCTCCAGCTG